TATAACTAATTTCAAGGGAAGGAGGTCTAAAAAGTGTGTGTGTGTGTGTGTGTGTGTGAGAGAGAGAGAGAGAGAGAGAGAGAGAGAGAGAGAGATCTCAGACAGAAACACAGCCAAGTAATGGCTGTGACAGAATGGAGGCAAAGCACACGTGGAGCAGTGAAACAGTGTTAAACCTTTCATGTTATGTCAGAAGATGACAACAACAAAAAAAGAAGTAACATAAGAAGTCTACACAGAAATATGGAGGTAATATTGAAAGAATCAAGTGCAGGAGTTGGAAGTCCACCTCTCAGGGAGCAGGTGCTACTCTTTTCCTAAAAATCCTAGCAGTACTCTCTGACTATGCACATCCAATATGTTAGGAAATGAAAACACCGGAGAGAAACAGTTTGAAAAATTACTGAAAATAACAGGGCACACAACCTGAAGTGGGCATTCATCACTCCTATCAGATAGTTAGCTGGGCAAGACAAATGCAGTTAATGACATAACAAACAGAAAACATTACATTTTTGAAGTCAATAGAAGACTACAAGCAATAGAAATTCTAGATTCCCCTGATAAGTATCTAATTTACTTAAACTGAAAATATTTTAATATTTATTTATTTTTGAGAGACAAAGGGTGTGAGCTGGGGAGGTGCAGAAAGAGAGGGGGACAAAGGATCCAAAGCAGGGTCCCTACTGACAGCAAAGAGCCCAGTGTGGGGTTCAAACTCACGAACCATGAGACATGAACCAAAGTCAGATGCTCAACCAACTGAGCCACCCAGATGCCCCCAAAACAAAACATTTTTAAAAACTGTTCTATAGTCCTTAAAAAAAAAAAAAAAAAAATGGAGGCGCCTGGGTGGCTCAGTCAGTTGGGCATCCAACTCTTGATTTCGGCTCATGATCTCCCAGTTCATGGGATCAAGCCCTGCATCAGGCCCTGCACTGACAGTGCACAGCCTGCTTGGGACTCCCTCTCTGTTCCTCTACTGCTCACTCGCTCTCTCTCTCTCAAAATAAATAAACATTTTTAAAAATGAGTCATCAGTATTTCAAAATAGTCATGATACATGCAGTTTTGACTTTACCTACCTTAGCTCCATTTCAAAAACGCTTAACCTTCCATATAAATTCAAACCATAGGACCCATTTTCAATTTTGTTATAATAACACTGTTGACATTAAACAGATTTTTTCTGTAGAAAACACAGATGGTCAGAAATCATAGCTGATGCTGAACAATAAAATAGCGACCTCTATCACAATGAGGGATTATCTACTATTTAATGGCAAGTGCATTCCTCTGCCTCCCACTTTTCCATCCAAACCACACCCCACACCCATACCACCAACCTCACCTCCACAACATAACACAGAGCAAACCACAAACTTGATGCCTTCCTTGAAGAATGACTGGCTTCATTTAATATGTCAATCAAAAAAGAAAACAGCAGCATGAAACCAAAGGTGAATTCCAACCTCATGGAAAGAACTTTCTGGCATTTTGTTTGATGAGAATACATAATCTGTCAGAGTCACACATTAGCCTAGAAATGTGGGAAATTGGCCCATTATTGACCTCTACTTCTGACACAACTTCCACAGCAACACAGAGGTCACTTTAATCATGGCTGCTGCCCCAGTCCCTGCACCCCTCCATAGAAACAGAGGAAGTGTGGAAGGTAGCGGGGACTGTCTTGGGACAGAGCCAGGGCCAGAATGAGAACCACAGTAAACACCAGCTATATTTGCATTATGTTCCACAATTTTAAAAATGTACTCGTGCATTACCCAATGTGGTAAGAGGGTTTACAATCTTCGCTTTCAATGAGAAAATTGAGACACAGAGGGAATAAGCTAATAAAAGGTCACAATTAATAAATGCTGTTGGCCAGGACTCCAGCCTAAGTCTGCTAATTCATGTCCCTGCCCTTCTCACACCCACATGGATGCTTCTCAAACAAAAGCTGTCTTCTTGGTACAGCCCCTCCTCCCAATCTCTTTGTATTTTGCACACTGTAGAGGTATGAAACATATTTCTTTCAATAAAAACTTTTCTACTGTTAAAAAAAGTTTGAAAAACCACTCACCTTAATATTACATTACATGTTCTAATCTCATCCATGATTTAAAGCAGTGGTTCTCAAAGTAGAAGTCCATTCCAGCATTATCACCTGGGAACTAGTCAGAAATGCTAATGTTCGGGCCCCCTTCGGCCCTACTAAATCAAAATTTCTCAAGGCAGGCCCAGCAACCTAGGCAGGCCCACGAGTCCTCCACGTGACCCAAAAGCACAAATTCTGAGAACACAAAATTTGTGATTTAGAATTAGGGGTAGCATAGGGGCTGAAATACTTCGAATTTCTTCTACATGATTACATATCACGTTTTGCTCATAAATTCATGGGTTTAAGCTTTTGCCCACACTTCTTAAATCAAACAGATATTAGTTACTACATCTTAAAAGTGGTTACCCACACACACACAGTTCCTGTGATAACCATATAGACGAATTTCTTCCCTTCATCTCTTGTTCCCAATAATTACCTCCCAACTCATCTCACTGCTTCTAGACTCCTATCTTTTTAGTCCTGCCCTGCATCTAGCTACCCTATCTTTCTTCACAAAATACCCATTTCCTCATGTCCCTGTTCTGTGACAGCAGTCATTTGTAGTGACTCATCACATTCTGAAAGGTTAAAATCCAACATCCCTGTCCAAGCACAACTCTCCCCAAGCCTGTGTTTCCTGGCTTCCCTTGGCTCCAGTCTCTATCCTTCAGTCCTCCCAGGCAGGCCTCATGCTGCCTCACCACATCCAGGTCTTCAACTGTTGTACTCACTGAGAAACCCCAAGCACCAGGAAAAGTGCCTGAGACAGAATAGATGTTCAGGAAATATCGGTTTTGTGAATTAATCCTTGTCTTTGTTCACTCTACTCCACACATCTGGAACAATTTCACCCCCTCAGCTCCAAATATGCAAATTGTATATACCTTCCCAAATCTAGGTCAAAAACCACCTCCGCTGTGAAATGCACTCCAACCTCCAAGTATTTATCTAGACCATATATTTGTCACTGTTTACCTCTAGATAAGTTCCCTGAAGGCAGCAACCATCACCTTTTTTTTTTTTAGCATAGAACAGAAAACAATGTACCATGTTGTATAAATAATCTGTAAAAAATAAAAGTAATAACCCCATTAGATAAAAACTACACAAGAGTTTCTCAGAGAATACAGTCAACAAACACAGGCCTGTGCTCTCCTAACTGCCATGGGCATGCTGTGCCATGTCGGGATCAACAGCCACCATTCACACCTTATCTTCTGATCCCAGAGCTGGCTCAGGAAAGGCTGGATGGTTGTTCTAGCTGATATCCCAGACAACATCTCAGATGTGGGGAAAGAAGACATCCAGGTACTTTTCCCCTGCAGTAAAAACGAGCCCAAATTCCAGCATAAACACCTTCATCCTCACCCACACAGGTGAGTTTCCAGCATCACTGGCCTGAAATGCCAAGCAGAAGTGAGCTGAAGCCTGGATAAGCCTGCCTATAATGTAGGGAAAGGAGGGCAAGAAGAAAGCTCACCTCTGTTCAACTTGGCCAACCAAGTTCTCACCTCTCTAGTCCTGGTGAATGTAAGAACACGCAAGGCCACGGTGGGGTGGGAGTGCTGTTACCTGTTGAACTGGAAGTCAGTGAACCAAAGGCTTTTCTAAAGGGCAGGGAAATGTGAACTATTGTAAATGCATTAGCTCCCAGCCTAAGTCCCTAAAAGACAACACAGCTCTATAGGATATTTGCCCTGGGACTGAACACCTCCATTTACAAGCCCTGCAACCATGAATGCTATGAAAGCAGACACCTGGCCCTTGGCCCTCCTCTAGATCCACTCCATTCCTCCACCCTTACTCTCCAAAGGGCAGGTGAGGGGCCACCAGGTACTGAGCACTTCCTGTGTGCCATTCACAAGCCTGTGAGGTCAATGTTTTCAGCTCCATTTGTAGATGAGAGGTCTAAAGGACTACACAGGAAACTTGTTTAAGACCATCACACATGTAATTAAAGTTGCAGGGGAAAGGAAGCTCAGATATCACTCAAACTTCTAAAGTCCTGCTTTGCCCTTTTTGACACATTTGTCTCATGCAGGAATATCAAACAGGCTTGTGAGGGGTACAAATTTGTAAGGAGAAAAACAGACCAAGATAAAATCTTCTTTTCTTTCTTTTTTTCTTAGAATGGAAAAAATGATGAAAAATATATCACCCACCAATTAATACACTCGACTAACTTCAGTATGAGGAAGTAGTGCTTCATACCACGTTATCTACCAAAAACAGACAGATTTAAGATGCGCTTCATTCCAGTCATGCACCAGGCGATGCTGGATTAAAAACTGTAGGAAAAAAAAAAAACCAATCCATACACATTAAAATAGGGCCTAGGCTACCTCAAGGTAGAGACCCACCATGTGGCCACAGTGGCCCTGAACACATGTGCCGTTAAGACAATAACTACAATATTGTGTGAGATCTTTTAAAGATAATGAAAATGTTAATTTTTTTTAATGCTTACTCTTTTGTAAGCATTAAAGTAACCAACCTAAAAAATCCTTAAGGTTACTCACCCAGCCCAACACAAGAAAAACCTACCCTCGCATATTTACTCTCTAACCAGCAAACAAGAGAGGCTGACTCAGACCAGAAAGAATTCCTCTTGACCTGGAAAGAAAACCTCACTGCAATATGATAACTCTAAATAGCTCAGAATTCTAAAACAAACCAACAAAAACTTGACCCCAAAGCAGCTCTCAACTACCCCTTCATATTACTTAATCCAAAAACCACTTTCAATTTTTCTTAAACTATCTCAAATCACTTTAAGGTACACGACTAATTCCTCGCACCTGGCAGCACCAAACACGACTGAATCAGAAGAAATATTCCTAAACATACAGGAGAGGAGACCACAAGGAGTGAATTTTGACAGAGGGCTTGCACCTACCTCCAATCTCCTTCGGGGGCCTGGCAAACAGTTATCCAGCTGTACCCTGGGACCCCTATACTCAAGGCCAGCACACCCCACACTGCGTGGGGTCTGGGTCAGAGTTGCACAGCACCACAACATCCCAACACAAGTATGGCTCCAAGGCCATGGACACCAGACCACAGTGCTCAGAGTGGGGATCAGACCACAGCCACTCAGGAGGGTGGAGGGGCCTGTTCCCAATGTCTCCTCAGGACTACTGATGCCAGAGGTGGGGCTTCCTTCTCCTCCCAGAATACTCCTATCATCAGTCAAAGGAGGCATCTATGATGATATCTTCAAAAGATTTGCCCAAGACAGTGCTCCTGAGTCTTATTGCCACGAGCATCCCTGCAGACAGGAATGTGTGTCAGCTTTTGGAAAAGATTTTCAGCAGGGAAGGGAGCAATATAGACAAAGGATGTTTACACACACGCGCGCACGCACACACAAACACCAAGCTATAAGCTAGTCAGTCCATGGGATCTCCTCGTCACTCAAACTTGTTATAGCTTGTTTGTACCCTCCTGGAAAGCCATCTCTATCTCTTCATTTGTGAAACCCTTACTCAACTTTCAATCCCTGGCTAATCTCTCTTTGCAATGTCAGTCCTTAATCTCACTTCATCTTTTGCCCCTATCTCTCCACAGTACTCACAACAATGTCTTGAAGATGTGCATGTTATATAATTTATCACTGTACTGAATCTGTGGACATTATCCATTCATTCAAATATTTATGGAGCATCTATGATATGGCAGGCCCTGAACTAGGTACAAGAGCTACAGCAGTAAAGTTCCCTATCCTCTTAGGATCTATAGTCTAGCATAGGAAACAACAGAGACTCTCTCTTAAACACAATCCTCACACCCAAGAACATTCAGTGATATATATTACTGGTTATCTCAAACCAAAGATCAATTTGTATTCCATTATTAACATATTTGTTTAAAAAATTTTTGGCACTTAGATTTTTCCTGGAAATCCCTAATGTGACTCAAGACTTTATGTGGGCCCCTCTGGTCAATTTCAAATACATCTGAAATGGGGGAGTTTTTAAATAACGGCTCCAAGATACCTTATGAAATATATGTAAAGATTATAGTAATGCCATATGATTTCTTCATTCCTTAAATGCACAATTAGTTCTCTGTCCTTATACAGTTTATAAAGTTTTCCCTTATAAGGTATTTGAAATTTAGGTACCTGTGCCTCCAATTTGTTCCTTCTAAAAAATTATGGTACATGTGATACATACCATCTAAGGAAAAAAAAATTAAGCAGCACAATCCAAGCACTAAATTAGAAAACAGCAAGCACAAATATATTACTACCTCTGTGCTTTCCCTTTCCATAGTTTGTTACCAGCCACCAACCACAATCCAAAAAGAGATGATCCTCCTGACGTACTGTCAGAAGGTGAGGATTAGCCTAATGCTACATCACAGTGCCTACATCATTTACCTCCCTTCATCTTGACACACACGTTCTCACCTCACATCATCACAAGAAGGGCGAGGACGATACAATAAGATATTTGAGAAAAAGGGAGGCCACATCCACATAATTTTTAGCACAGAATATTTTTATACTTGTTCTATTCTATTATTGGTTATTGCTATTAACTCCTACTATGCCTAGCTTACAAATTAAACTTTATCAGAAGTATGCCTGGACAGGAAAAAACCTAGTGTGTCCAGGGTGTTGTGCTGTCTGAGGGTCCAGGCATCTCCTGGAGGAGGCCTTGGATCCTGCCCCTCGAGGAGAAGTGGGGAGTGTCATCCAGCTAATCTGTACTATCACTATTCTGTAGCATACTTGAAAGTAGAGTTTCTGATAAAAATCCTGCAAGGAAGCAAAGAAGCAAATTAGTTCTAAGGAAGCTCAGGCAAAATATAATTACACAAGTAGTAATTAAAGTGTGAAATGGACTACCTCAAACAATGAGAGTTGTTAAGTATAAACTTATCCGACTGGGGTGAGGGGAAGAAAAAACAGGAACAAAGCCAGTTTGTGAAACTTTAAAGATGCACAGATAGAGTGGCCGCAACAAGGAACCAGGACTTTGATGACAAAGGCATCTAGTGGGCACACATCCTGTCTATCAGTGGCCACAAAGAAGGGCAATAAAATGGCTCTACGAGCTAAGTGGCCTGACATCGCACAAGTCATTTCCTCCCTGTGGGCACCCGAGGCCTTGTGTGTAAAAATGAAAGGACGAATCATCCCTGAGGTTCATGTGTTGCTCAACCTGTCTGTGATGCTGTATCAGGAAAATTCAACACACCCAGGTAGGTTTCCTTTCCTTAGTGGAAAGGAGACAACCATTCCCATGACCACCATAACCTGGTCTTGAAAACTCATAAAATTAAAACCACCTAATCTTCGCTACAACATTCTCCATCAAAAATATGTTTATAAAACACATGTCCCTGCAGTAGCAGAGTATGAAGCTCTATAGACCCCATCCCCCTGAAACAGCTTCCCAAAGTGGAGAGCCCAGGGACAGCGTGGGAACCAGAGCTCCGCAGGTAGCAGAGCCACGACCCCATGCAGACTGCTGGAACGGTCCTGCTAGCAGGACTTGTCAGGGATATGAGAGAACATCCACATGGAGGCCTCTAATGATGGAAATCATTTCTGCACTCACTACACACTTGAACAACTGAAGACAGCAAGATGGCATGTCACAAACTACCAGTCAGTTAAGAACTTAACACTCCGTCTGAAAATGGTTGTGTTTTAGAATAAAGGGGGGTCAGCCAAGTCTGTGAAAATGCCCCTGTTCTCCAAGACTTTCATGTCAATTTGGGGAGGCAAGTCATAGGTACGTGTAAAGTTCACGGACAATAACCAATTATCAACATTAAATGCCACCCAAGTTGTACAGGAATTACAAAAATTCAGAAAACCCTGAAGACAAAGAACACTTCACGAAGGAATTATTTCATTACAAATGGGGTAAATCTTAGGACAAAGGCAGGAAAGCCAAAACACACATGGCATGTTTGAACAACAGGGGATGAAGCCTGGACATGACACCAATGTTCAGCACTTGTCTTTTTACTTTATTCATTCTTTTCTTCCAGGGCAGTGAAATGCTGAGCTGAGCTGGCCACACAACATCCCTGCCAGGGCTGGGCCACAGCAGAGACTTTCAGACCTGCACAGAGATCGCTAGCTCGAGGCCCAACCTTAATGGCATCTGAAGTGCCGTGTACTAAACAACTATTAAAACAAGGTAATATGGGGGCACCTGGGTGGCTCAGTTGTGATCTCGCGGTTCGTGAGTTGGAGCCCCACATAAGGCTCAGTGCTGTCAGCGCAGAGCCTGCTTTGGATCCTCTATCCCCATCTCTCTCTGCCTCTCCCCGACTCACTCTCTCAAAAATAAAAATAAACATTAAAAAAAAAAACAAGGTAATATGTCACCAACAGAAGCAGCAAATGTGAACTTACAATTTGAGATTTGAAGAGAAAAATGTAGTCTAAAAGACCCCAAATTTTTTTAATTCTAAAATTTTAAGGATTATGTGATTATCTTGGAACTATATTCTCCCCCAACCTTTTTTTTTTTTTTTTTTTCCTCAAGTTAAATACTTTCTGGATAAAATTCTCATTTCTCACATTTGTTTAAATGTTCCTTAAAACATTCCCTCCAACTACTGGAGCAGATCTTCCTGTTTATCAAAAGACTAAAATAAATAGCAGGTCAACAAGACCAGACAAGGAAAACATAAAACTCGTTTGACAGCTGAAGCCACCACTGTGTTCATATTAACACAAGAGAAACAACCCACCCTTTTGGTTAGCCCTGTTCAATGTCATGCAGTAATCAAGCCCTTCTTACCTTCTCACCACTAAGACATTTCAGGCCAATCTGAAATTTAGACAAAGAATCTAACATCAAGTTCAATCACAGCTGAGTAATGAATATTACATATATGATTTAATTACCATAAATTTAGCACATCCATTTTATGTGAAATATAATACCAGAGCCCATATTTACTGAAACTTTATGATGCCAAAAGAAAAGCAAAGCCCATATGGTCTAAGTGAGTATTTGTTTTAATGCAAAGCCTCCGGTTTCATTCTTGTTTGGGTCTGTCCCACAGTCACCTGACATTCCTGCAAAAACTTACCTCTGTTTTGGATGGACGTGCAAACAAGGGCTGACACCCAAATTTCACCAAATTTCAGTTCACGGTGCAAGGTGTCTTAGAAAACAACTTCTCCCTCAAATAAATAAATATAGTGTGGATCATGGACACTTTTTTTTTTTCTTCCTTTGGATAAAAAAAAAACTGCCTTGGAGATAATACCTTTTCGTACCATGTCAAGAATTCTTCTCAACTCATCTGAAATAAAACTATACAAGTATACACCACAAGTCAGAGAAATGTTGCGAATTATTTGGTAAGGTGAAATCTATCATAACTTAAATAACTTGCCCTTAAACTGTCACTCTCATTTAATGAGAAGCCACAATGTTATGAAGTAAAAGAAAACACTTTTCAGACTAATTAGAGGGCATTTATTAAAACTCTGTAAAACCCTGTATGACATAATACCAGAAAGGGAAAATAAACATTTCAAGATGGACAACTGTTTTATTCTAAATTTACACCAAATAGTTTAAGTACCCTTGAAAAAGTTTACTAAGTGAATACAATATTGAAGCAAAATTGTACATAAATCTTAAGCAATGTCACACCCTTTACAAAGACCAATGGCAACCAAAAGAAATCAATTCCAAAGTTAAGGAGATTGCACTGTAAAAATAGCAGAATTCTAATCTTCAAATTAAGTTATTTTCCTATATCTCCACGCTGTCTTTGAAAATAGTCAAATGACTAGAATCAAGTATAAAGTAAGCCATGTGAGAAAAATAATAGAGGCTAATACCGCAGGAATGCTTAAACGGCATACCAGATCTGCCAGGACAGGGAGTGAGGACAGTCAAGGAATCTGACCCTTTTCCCCCATCCCCATTGCAGCTGGCAGGCCCCTACCCCTGTGAACACTCTGAGCTGGACTGAAGAGGAGACTGTGAGGAGGGGCCTGTCCCAGAGAGTGCCCGGTGCCCACAGTGATGGGCTCAGTGACCAGGGTGCTCAACTACTCCCAGGGACACCAGGGGAGCAAGGCATTGCCGTTCCACACTTCAGATCACAAGCACTGCAGCAGAGGCAACTCCTGGAGTTGTCAGATTCCAAGCTTTTACCAGTTAGGACAAAATTAAAGAAGACAGTGAGAGATCTCAAAAGGAGGATGATTCAGTA